TAAGGATAGAGCTACTAGCAAAATAGTGTAACTAATAATTTATTAGACATAGGCACTTGCTTATCGAGTCACAAAAATACCTAGTGACAATAGCTTTCTTTTTTTAAATAATGTTCTTAACTGGGTGTCTCTGAAGCCTCATAGTAACTCCCTTAAGGTCAAGTACCAATAGAGTAAAGAATTTGATCTAAATGAGCAAGTTAGCTTTTTTTTTTTAAATAATGTTCTTAACTGGGTGTCTCTGAAGCCTCATAGTAACTCCCTTAAGGTCAAGTACCAATAGAGTAAAGAATTTGATCTAAATGAGCAAGTATAATCACCCATGTTACTTATGTCATATTCATATTATACATATTTGTTATGTTATTTCATCATCTTTATTAGTTCATTTCATCCAAAAAAAATTTCTAGTCATTTAGGAATGCACATGTAATATATAAGCATCTTCATTTCATCATACCATAAGATATATTACCGCTCACCAGTGTATTCTTACTCACATCCATTACTCATCCCATTCCTCATTATATGTATACTGCTCACACACAGTTCTTCCGCTTCTCTCACCATCATCTTCTTTACACTTACCAACCAGAATCCATCGCTCCGCTCACTTTACTGCTCATTTTTACTTTACAATCTTTTGCTATTTTTTCTCGCGCAAGCAAGCCATTACTGCTTTTCCACTTTTCTAGATTTATCTGTTTGTATCTCTTTTGATGTGATTTTATGACTTAAAATATCTAAGTTTGATCTATAAAATCACCAGTACAAAAGAGTATAAACATATATTTGATAAAAAGATTTTGGGTCTACTACAACATCTGTTCATTAAATCAATATATGATCATTTACTCACTTTTGATTCCCCGGGTATGCCCAGCGTATTATGTAAACATTCTATTTATTTATTAATATATTAAAAACCTTGATCTTTCCGATAATATATATATGATCATTTACAATATATCAAGATTTGACCCATTTTATTCAATGAATCATAACCCTAGTTCTTTCATAATCAAATCTCATATACTTCGATATGATAATGGTGTTGAGTACAATTTAATAACATTATTTAATGAGATAGGGATCCTTCATCACCGCTCATGTGTTGAAACACCACAAAAAAAAAAAGTATTTTTGAGAGAGAATATGGCCACCTACTCACTATTGCTCGCACTTTGCTCTTCCAAGCTAACCTTTCCTAATCATTATTTGGGAGACGCCACCCTGACAACAACTTACCTCATAAACCCCTTTTCCAGCCGCATCCTGCAGTATAATATCCCCCTTACCAACTTCTTTATAGCAAACCACTCTTCTACCATCACTTTCGCATTTTTGGATGTCTTGTGTATGCCTCCACCCATACTACAAATTGTCACATATTTGCTCTTTGAGCACATTATTGTATCTTTTCTCAGGTATCTTGTTGGGACTAAAGGGTATTATATTTATATCCTTGATATACATACCATATTTAATTCCATTGATGTTACTTTCCACAAAAATATTTATCCCTATCACATATTCAAAGGCACCACAACTCCTTATTCCTTTCCATGCACACCAAATAATCCTGCTAACTTTCCATGCATGACATAGAACCCACCGCCCTCCTATCAACCTTACATTCCATGCATTCCTTGTCCTTCTCTTTCACCCTCCACTACATTTTTCCATCCCTTGATATAACACCATATACGACCTTCTTCGACCAGTCTGTTCCCTCTCCTCCATCTCCTGACCATCTTATCAGTCTCCCTCTACATCACATCCTTTTGTCATACTTTCTTCATAATCTCCTTTCATTTTTTCCTCTCACGACTCTCACCATCGTGATGCGTCTCCTCCCACTTTAACTCATCTTTTGTTTCCTTCAGTGGTTCATTGGTCTTACCGCACTCACGGTGTCCAGTCTCGCCTTTCTGATTTTATTCTTGACTCTCCAATATCCTCTCTTCTCATCTCTATTGCTTCATTTCCTTGTCCTGAACTGAAGTCCGAAGTGGAAGTGCTGGGGCGGGAATAATAGAGACAAACTATGACCGACAAAAGAATGGCCTTAATGGAGAATAACAAATAGTTAGTTTTTCCTATTTCTCTTTGTTTTACTTCTATTAGATACAAGTGGGCTTGTAAGACTAAAATGAGAGCCAACGGGAGCTTAGAACGATACAAGGCCCGATTTTTTGTTAAAGGCTACAATCAACGCAAGGATTTTGATTACAATTCTTTGTCTTTTTTTTTTTTTCTCTTGCAGCTCATTTCAATTGGCACTTGGAAAAACTTGATGTCCACAATAATTTTTGAAATGATGATCTGGAGGACTTGCATAGGAGTACTACAACTTTTGTGCAATAATAAAAATACAATCCAAATCAACAAAAACCCAACACACTATGATTTGGACATTCATTTTGTTCACGAAAAGGATACAAACTAAGTTGTTTGAAATTGAGTACATACCGACAAAGTCCCAACTTGTAGGCATTCTCAAGAAAAGACTCTCTGAATCGGTCTTTCATAATCTGTCGTCCAAAATATTCATCCAAATACCGAGAACATTTTGATGGGGTTGTCAGGAATTAGCTTCATGGTACCGACATGCACCTCAGTGAAAGAATCACATGCAAAGATTCCACATTGGCATTCATTTGAATTCGATAACTCTAGGAGCAAAAGACCATAACAACATTTTGTTGTGTGTCAGATGCGTTGTACATTTTTATCGGAGTTGTTAGGCATCAACATATATATATATATGTATATGTGGATATATATATATAGACATCTTTTTTCGGATTGTTAGGCATCATCATATATATGTATGTATATATACAAATTTTATTAATGAAAGTAATAGGAAAGAGTTTTTTGAAAAAATAAAAAATAAACCAATATATTTTTTCAAAAAAATTAATATATTATATATACTTATTATTTTTATATTATCTATACAATTTTTTATACTTTACATAAAAACAATATTCATTCAAACTATTTTACAAAACAAACAAAACCCTTTGTTATTCACTCATCCAATACTTTAGAATTATTTCATTTATTTTTCATCAATATTTATATTTTAAGCTTTAATTATAGTATAGGCTATATAAATGAAAATAATTGTTATACTCCCTTCATTCCGCATAAAGTATTTATTTATTTATTTTTTATTTTCTTATGTCCCAAGTAATTTTTTATTTCCTTATGTGGAAATATAATTATACATTTTAATCACATTTAAAATTTTATAATTTATAATATTATTAATCTTAATTAAATTATTTATTTATTTTAATTTTAATCTATAATTATTTTTACTAATATGCTTCTTAATTATTTAATTACTAATTATAAATTTACCTAAATTCTAGTGACTAGGGTAACGTGAACACTTTAACTGTGACAGATGGAGTATTTTTTATTTTTGATATTTTAATAATTATTATTATACAAATTGGGTCGGACATTTGACGTCCACCAAACATTTTTAGATGAAATGATTTTTAGTGTGTAATATAAGGAATTGTGTCAAAAATATAAAATCTATAATTTTAAGTTGAATATTTTGATTTTTTATAATGAATATTTGAATTTTTATTTTATTTTGGACTTTTATAAAAGGTGTTTTGTATTGAATATTATTATTTTTGGAAAATTGCTAAGTTAAAAAATAGTGTTATGAACAAAGCCTAGTCTATTGGGACCAATTTCCACCTGAAATTGAAATTGTTGTGCTTTTGAAAAAAAAAAAAAAAGTGTATTTTGGAGTTGCAAAAGTAGCTAGTTTCTTTATGAAAAAGCTAGGCAGAGGCCAAAGGTAGTTTTTAAAAATTAATCCAAACATATTATGAATTTGGTTGAAAAAAATAATCTTTTGTCACTATCGATAGAGAATGGGCATTGAAAATGAGGCCTATCTATCTACCGCTAATTAAGATTATTCATTCATTAGGCGAATGAACGATGTTTCATTTTGTTGTGCTTAACAATTCTAAGCTTTGTTTATTTAGAGGTGTGATTTGTTAAAAAAATATTTGAATTGTAATGCAATCCAAAGTAAGTAAAGACGGTTGGTGTTGATTTGAGGAAATAACATAGTTCAAAAATACAGATAAAAAAAATTCAAATATCATATTATTTATATCAATATAATACAAATACAATATAAAAATAAAAAATCATATGACATACTCTTATGATAATTTTGCCAAATAGCATCGATTCAAAAAAAAAAAAAAAAACACACCTCTTTTTATTTCATGAAGCATGTTTTATTGGTGCTTAATGGAATCTTGATCTGGATAAATCGGTCGGCATAGTGTTTTTTATATCAGGTTGATATGCTTTTAATCTAAGGATGTGATTTAGAGATTAGATATTATATTTAGAGAGAAACAATTAGGGTGCTGAATTGAAAAAAATCAGCACCGCCCGTAATATATACAAGTGTTGAAATCAATTAGTATTTCTGTTGTATAAGATTATAGAATGTGTTGTTGGTTTATGTGTTGTATTTGTGTTTATAATCAATTGTGTTGTATAACAGTATCTGGTGTGCTGAAATCAAGTATTGATTGTGCCGTATAAGGGTATAGCATGTGTTGTTAGTTCGTGCGCTGTATTTGTATTATATGAACGCACGGTGTGCTGCCGTTAGTAACACCTTGTGCTGTCTGCCGGTAGTTCAACACCGTAGCTGTCGCGATCTTAAAGATATGATTTGAATATTAGATATTATATATTTAGATGTATAAATATTATTAGTACAAGCTTATGCTATAAACAGAGGCATGTATTCCCATTCTGATGCGGCTCAAATCCTCCAATAAAATATGTACCCCATTTCTATCAATGGACATAGCCAACTCGATTTTTATGAATCACATAAATTTGTATTTTCTTTAAGTTTTCTGTTTGTTTTTCGATCATTAAATTCCGTCAAAACATATCAACAACCGCCGTCAAATTAAGAAGATGAACTTCCCCCAACATAATAAAATGTAAATAGTAGTAAACCCCAAAAAGTAACCATAATGATCCCAAATCATAATAATAATGCACAATTGTGACAAATAGAAATTCATTCCTAAACTCCCAAGAAGAAGAAGAATAGTATTTCTCATCAAATTTAAATTGATCTCACTCACTCACTCACTCAGTTCCTACTCTTCAATGTCATGTCAATGCCACAGCTTGGTGCAGAATCCGGCAGCCACGGTGGAGCACCTCTTGTTGGCCACGGCGTCGGAGAAACTATCCAGCAGCTGCCCTGCAAGCGACTCCGGATCTTGAATAAACGTATCGACGAATACTTTCACTATGCGTACCTCCTGAGCGTTCGCCCTCAACCCGTACCACGTCAAGAACTTCTGCCTGAATGCCGTCTCTATATGCCCCTCGCACTCCAGCCATCGAATCACCTTCACATAGTACTCGAAATCCTTGTCCCCCATCCCACCGCACTCTTTTTTCTCCCCCGCACTCCTTTTCGTTACCATTCCCATCTCCACCGCGCCACCAAATTTAGCCCAGTTGCTCCTCCCTGTGTCATCCTTGAGACAGGGAGTGATCGGCAAGCCAGCCCTGAGAGGCGTATTAGATCCATTATTATCCGTGCTCGTATTCGACCCGTCATCAGTGCTCGTTTCCTCTCTCTTCTTCTCCATGCTCGATTCTCCGTCCAGCAAACAAATCACAGCACAAGTAGTACTAGTGTTCTTCTCATTCGGAGTGGCAGGTTTATCAGCATTGCTGGGAATAACAACAACGTTGTTGGTCTCATCTTCAACGGATGATGGATTCGAGAGGCTGCTGCAGTTTGTGGCAGCCAGGCTTAGGTTTAGGCTTTGGCTTCGGCTTCTCTCTTCTTCCAAGTGTGTATTTTGAACCTCATCTTGAGAGCTTTCCGTACAGAACTGGAATTCGCAGAATCCCATGTCTCTGTCCGCATACTGGGCAATGGCTTTCAGATAATACGGTGTCGCAGGAGTCAACCCAGAAAGTATAAATTCCGCATTCGGCTTCAACAATCTACAGGTAGGCTCGCAAGGATACCCAATGTCATCAGCTCTTCGATGCCATACCGTGTAACTGCCAATGTTTCTTGAATCCTTGAAATTCACAATCACTGAAAGGGATGTATCCTTAACCCCTTCGAACCTGACGAGATTCGAGGCAAGTGTATTCCAATCTAGACCACAAACCATCAAAATTTCCTAGTATAAGTAAGAAGATAAAACACCAGACGGTTTGGAATCAAGTAACCACACTCACACAAATGCAGTCTACTCAGTACATACTATAATTGATCTCGGCACACAATATATGCTAACATAGCACACTTGTAATAAAATAAAACACCAAATGCAAAGACAAAGACAAAGGAGAAGAAAGAGAGCACGCACCAGAAGGCATATCGGAGACTCGGTTAGCGAGCATTGCATCGAGAGCTTCCACGGCAGAGGCGCAAAGCCTCTGAATTTCCAAGCCTGATGAGAGTCTGTTGACAATCCCTCGAGCCTTTTTTACCGGTAAACCCGTCAGATGGCCGACCTCTTCTTCGAGCATTTTCACAGCTTCATCGATGATTGCATATAAATTCTTGTAGTGTTTGGTGCCAGAAAGAATTTTTTGGCTTAAGGAGAGCCTATAGCACAATATGTCAACCCTTCTCGTGTCCCTTGCCACCATTATTTGCTTTCTCCAATTGCTGCATCAATTTCATCTACATTACTGCCGCTAATATTTTGAGCCGAAAAACACAAGGAAAGATGGATCAATGAACAGCACAGAAGTACATTTGCAGTCTATGCATTTATTTATACGTTCCGACTTCCAAAGCAAGTCCAAGTTCATACTGCAGCATTCCAAGTTGTGCAACTATAGCAGAAAGTCGACGAAAAAGGAAACAAGAATTGATGACTTACCTGAGCAAATCGTTAACCTTTCCACAAGATACACAACAGAAGCTCCCATCAAGTCCCTTATCCAACCTATCCTGCGAGATGCCAGAATATTCATGCCTCAGCGCACATTCAAGGTGGCACGATGTGCCACACGAGATGCCAAGAAATGGAGGATCTGAGCTACATGTTAACCAAAGGCTCGGATCCTTGTTGTCGTCATACTGGCGACATATGCAGCAGGAACACCGCTTGCAAAATGGATCGTCGCCATTCATTTTTGCCTTGCAAGCTGAATTTTTGCAACACAAAGTATTGCCTGAATAGAAATCAGAAGTAACAGTTCCAGCATCGGATTTCCTTTGCCTTTTGGGAGTCCTTTCGCCACTTTCTAACGATGGTTGAGCTTGAGAAAGAGAAGCACATGCTGCAGCAGCTCCTAACTCCTGTGATTTCCTTTCGCATACGAGTTTCAGAAGCTGTTCGATTATTTTAGACTTTGTCAATCCTGTATATTTCCTCTCCTTGCCGAGCTCTGCACAGAGGATCTGTAATATCTCCTGGCGACTCCATACCTGCAGCATTTCCATCGCACAATCTGGCCACTTCGACACCTCATACACCAGTTCTCTCTTTTGCTCCATACTCAACTTAATGCACTTGGAAGGATCGTATACCACAGCTGGATCGAAAAGAGACAACAGCCGTCACAATACTACAGCGAATACTCTTATACGAAAAATCATTACTATTTCAGGCATTCGGGAAGAAAACACACAAAAAATGACACTCTTGTTCTTTCCTGAATTTCACAACACTTCATTTCATATAGTTTGGTTAATTGTTAGGCCAAATGATGGAAATTAAAAAGGGTTTGTCCCCTTGAGTGTAAGTCGAATAAGTCGTACAGTTGATATGCAATGAAGGCTTAACCACATAAAAAAAGAGAGGAGAACAAAATTCAGGGAAGAATAAAAGTCGATACAAGAAAAACAACATGAATAACACTGCAACCAAGTTGCAAAAGTTTATTCTTTGTCTACCCGAAAATACAAAGATCCGCACACCTATACACATGAAACACTCTTGATCGTGATAGTTCTTCGAGATCCCCCAATAACCTTAATGGTAACATAAAACCAGACAAAGATTCGAGAAGGACACAATTTGACACCCCCAAATGAATAATGCAGAAACAGTCAAACAAGATGGATTCGGCAATCGAACAAAAGGTGTCATCCAAAGACTTGTAACTATTTGAAAGTACCAAAAACTTCAAACATTGACTTCATGAATAGATGAAAGCCGCAAAGGATCAAGACAGTATTTCAGCAAATGTGTTCAAAGTTTGCCTTGTGAGAAACACAAAATCATTCCTCGATCCATGCATATTGCAAACCAAGTTGCACATTTGAAGAAAAAAGAATCACAAAAGTATGTATATATATATATATACAGATAGATACAGCAGGGCTGTTCATTGGCTTATTCATGACAGATCAGTTCTTCCTCTGAAATTTATTTAGGGAGCAAGAAATGCCGCAAGAGTAGGTAATTCATAAATACTAAATTCATTATCTCCATCTGACATTATGAATAAAAAAAATTGATGTGAGTGTGTATGTGTATGTGTGTGTGTGTGTGTGAGAGAGATAGAGAGGGGAGTGAGAGAGAGATGCGTGTTCCCGAAAGCATCGATTTCATCGACAACGAGATAGCCCCCAAAACTACAATTAAATCAAATTCAATCCAGCAATCGAAATACCAAACAGATCGAACACGAAATCACTTCAATCAACACCATAAACAATAACAGCCAAGCAAAAATTAGAATAAAAACCTAGCGAAATGCAGAAACGAAAAAAAAAAAAAAAAAAAGAGGCAAACGCGAATAAATAGGAAGAAATGAACAAATCCTTACCCTCCAAAGCCGAAACATCCATCTCTCTAAGCTTCGTCTTCAGCCGCCAAAGTCCAAACCTCACATTACCACCGAATCGTCCCCTTCTTCGCTGAAAACCACAGCTCAGCTACAAAAACTCACCCACAAACACACGCAAAGAGAGATAGATACAGGCAAAAAGGAAAACGCAGAAGCAGAAGGACCAGAATAGAGAGAGGGGGGGGGGGGGGGGGGGGGGGGGGGGAGAGAGAAGTACAATTACCAAGAAGTGGTGAAAGAATCCAGGAAGAGAGGGGTCCTCAACGTGGGCACTTCAGCGCCCAAAGCACCATTTTTTTTGCATATACATACATACATACATACACAAATTCGAGCATATACATATACATAAAGACACATATATATAATATATGTATACGTATAGTATATATCGCGTAAAGCTTTGCCTGGCCTGCCTGTGTGTATCTCTTGAGAGAGAAGGAATCAGAGGGAGATTGTCACTGTGGTGTGAGAGACAGGAAGAAGAAGGGGGCAGTTGAGTTGAGTTTAGATGAGAGAGAGAGTTCAGAGAAAAAGTAAGAACTGAACAGAAAAAATATATATATATCTGTATAAATTATTTAGTAATTAATAATAATTAGAATAATAGGCTTAATTCAGCAGTGAAAGGAAAGCGGCTGAATGTACAAAGCCCTTTTTGACCCTTTTCAACGGTGGGGCCCACCTCCTTAATCCACCAATCATCTTCCTCTGTGCCCTGCACCCACCACCACCCTATCATTTCCCATTATCACCATATATACGCTCATCTCTCGCCATAAATTTAGCAAGGGTGTGTTTGTTCGAGGGATTGGATTTTCAATTCATTATTCATCCAATTTTTTTTTTCAAAAATATCAAATTAAATATTTATTTTTATATTTTTATATTATACTAAAAATCAATTTTACATTTAAAATATCACATCAACACCTATTTATATCACATCATACAACTATTCAAATTCAAAAATTTTACTATTTAAATCCCAACTCAAAATCCAAATGCCCAAACAAACACAACCCAAATTTATTTCGAAATCAATATGGAGTAAAATATGGGTTGGGATCATCGGTCTAAATTTATCCAGTTTAACCGGTTCACTCAATCAAAATTAAACGCATATGTATTTATTTGTTTATATCTTTTTATTTTGTTAAAAATCAAAATCTAATTAATTTACCAAATATTTGCACAATAGTCCCTGTCATTTCCTTCTCAATTCTTTCATTCATTTTTCTGTATTCTGCAAATCGATTTTACCATGAGACCCCAATCCTTCTCTATTATGTGTCCTTCAAATCAATTTTTTTTTTTTTATATTTTGTTTTTTTTTTCCATTTTTCTTGTTTTTTCTTCCCGGTCTTCCCACTCTAGGGTTTTTTTTTGTTTTTTTTGTATCTTTTTATTTTTATTATACTGTATCTATACACCTTAATACAACACAATTATTTAATTTAATTTGCATAAAATCTCTTCATATGGGATAGAAAAATAATCACTAATAATTTTGAAAAAGATTGCTAAAATATTTCACAATTTTTAAAAATTATTATTGATTTTTTCTATCCATCCGAAGAGATTGTATGCAAATTAAATTAAATAATTGTGTTGTGTGTATAGATACAGAATAATAAAAATAAAAAGATGAACAAAAAAAACCTTAGAGTGGGAAGAAAAAACGACAAAGTGGAAACAAAAACAAAATATAAAAAAAATTATCTGTTGTAGTTCTCTTGGCGGCGGAATGACTGAGTCGGAAGGTAAAGTCAATTTGGAGAACGCAAAATAGAGAAGGATTAGGGTTTGAAGGTAAAATCGATTTGCAGAACACAGAAAGAAAATTGAATGGAAGAATTGGGACGGAAAATATAGATACTATTGTGCAAATATTTGGTAAATTAATTAGATTGTAATTTTTAACAAAATAAAAAAAGTATAAACAGATAAATACACACGCGTTAAATTTTGATTGGGTGAACCGATTAAACTGTATAAATTTAGACCGATGATCCCAACCCGTAAAATATAATGAGTTTGTTTACTCGTGTCATTTGATTTTTTATTTTACTATTTAATTTTTTTTAAAAAAAAATATATCAAATCAAATACTTAATTTTTATTTATTATATTATGCATCACAAAAATATAGTCTTAGTTGGATTGGAATATTAATATTATATTATAGTTGGTAAAAATATAAGTAAATAATTTTTTTTGTCATTGTGAGTGTATTAGCGTAAAAATAGTGACAATTATGTAATAATAATGAAAAAATATAGATAATTTTATGGTGATATGATTATTTGTGAAAATAAAATTATTATTTTATGATAGAAACAAAAGGTAAATAAGACTATTGCATTGAGATAGATGAAATACTAAAATTAAAATTTACATTCAAAACGACACATCAATATATATTTATATCATATCAAACAATTATTTTAATCCAATTTAATATTCAAAATCCAAATTCAAAACCAAAATCTTACAAGTATAAACACTTAATATTATCTCGTAACAATACTTTCATTGGAATTCAATACTGGATTTAAAGACTAATGATATTATATTAAAAATAAGTATGTAATGTATCTTAAAAGATTAAAATGTCCTTACGAGTATATTTATATAAAAAATAATAATATTTGTATAATAATTAAAAAAATAAATTATATAACACCTCTTTGTGTTTTTAGTAAAAATACACAAAACACTCTATATTTTATTTATTGCGTGAAACTCCCTTGTGTTAATGTAAAGTTTGCATGAAACAAAATTGATATTTGGTTCTAAATAAATACCTAAATTATGTAAGTTTTATACAAATAAAAAAAAAATATTTTAAATATTTTTTTTTTAAAAATAAATAAATAAATAATTGATCAATAATTTTTTTTACAATTTTTATAAAAATCAGATATTTACTTATTTTATTCAAAAAAATAATTTAAAATATTTTGCGTTTTTCTCTTTATAAAATTTGCATAGTTTAGGTCTTTATTTAGAACCAAATATTAGTTTTGGACAAGTAAGGTATTTTGTGCAAAGTTTACATTAACGCAAGGGGGTTTCACGCAATAAATAAAATATAAGGTGTTTTGTGCATTTTGATTAAAATACAAAAGGGTGTTATATAATTTACCCTTAAAAAAAATAATAATAATTTTAAAGTGATATAATTATTTTTTAAAATGGAACTGTTATTTTGAAAATTGCAAACAATTGAAAAAAAAAAAAAAAAAAAAAAAAAAAAAAAAACTGCTCCCTCCATCCAAACTAATATGTCTCATTTAGTTCAAACACAAACCTCTAAGTATTGCATAATTAATAAGTAAAAGAAGAATATTAGTAAAAATAATTATAATTTAATAAAAATAATTATAAATTAAAACTAAAATGATTAAATAATTTAATTTAAATAAAAAAATTTAAATTTAAATTTTAAATATGATTAAAATGTATAATTATATATTTTTTCAAAAAAAACACAAATTATTAGGACATACAAAAGTAAAAAAAAAAAATTGATAAATTTAAGTGGACGAAAAACAGTATTTTTTTTTTTTTTTTTGAATTTTTTTAATGTGTGTGAATAGTAAACATGTTTGTAAAAGCTTCCAAACAAACACGCACGTTTCACAAGAAAATACAAAATTTAATATTATGCTTAATTACTTATCATCAATAATGATGTGATTTGTTTTTTCTTTTAGAGCCGAGAGGCTATGAATACGATTAGTTGGTGTGAATGATTTTTCTATATTATTATTATTATTATTATTATTATTATTAGTACAGTAAAAAATAAAATAAAATGAAGGCATTAAAATGATTGGGCGTTGGGTCACTCTGCACAATAAATGTAGTGAATGTGGGTCTGTTTTTTGTCACAGTTTTCTTAAATTTTATTATTTGAATTTTTTATTTTTTTAAGAGAATATATTTTTTTATTTCACCAAATATTATATCAAATATTATTTTTATATTAAATTTAAATTAATTTTTTTCTAAACTCATCAAAAGAAACACAGCGTATATGTGTATAAATATATATATTAGAGAGACATACACTATATATCAAAGAAACAAAGCAAAGTGACCCACCTTTGTTTATTTGGCATTTCATCCCCACTTCCATAATGCATTATCTTTTTCTAATATTTTATTTTATTCTCAACCCACCATTATTAATTTATGGATAATAATTGTCACTCAGTATGGGATCACATAAATCCGAAATTACTGATCCGAAGTTCTGAAATTGAATATCAAATTGAAATCCAATGTAAGCCTTGTGTAGACTGATCCGAAGTTCTGAAATCGAATATCAAATTGAAATTCAATCTAAGCCTTGTGTAGACACGAAAAGAAAATTTTTGAAACAGAAAATCACAAGAAAATTTCAATCTATGTGGGATTCGGGCTGACAAATGAATCAAGTCAGATCGGATTCAGGTTCGGGTTCGATCGGCTATAAACGGGTTAGAAAATATTTGACCTGAATTTGACCCATTTAATTAAACGGGTTAATATATGCAACATTAATCTGACCTGTATAACCTTTTTAAGTCTAACATTTTTAAATTTTAATTTAAAATTTCAATTTCTACTAACAAAATTTTCAAATGCATATTATATATATACATATTAAAGTAAAAACTATTTATTCATATCATTAAAACCGATTCCAAGAGTCAAATTAATAAACACAATATAATAATACACCACACAATCATTTGTTTAATCTTAATTTTGTAAAATTTTAACTTAAATTTTATTTTATTTTATTTTATTTCATTTTTATAAAGTTAGCAATGAATATTTGAATTGAATTGGTAAAATTTTAAAAAATATATTTAAATTTAAAATAATATTAATTAAACAGGTTAAACGAGTTATTTTCAGGTTGAAAATTTGGACATAAACCTGACTCATTTAATTAAATGAGTTAAACGGGTTTGACATTGACTCAAACCCAATTATTTCGAGTAAAGTTCAGGTCGGGTTATCAGATCAAATCAATTTTTGCCAACCCTATGTTGGATAATGTCTTTCCATCTTTCTCTTTCTTCCTCTTTCACCAATACACCCAACAATAATAATAATATTACCTTCATGTCACATGCCACTGTGATACACATGGTTCGCCTAGTGTGACTTTCCCATCGGGCCTGGTTTGCAGGGTATTAGGTTCGGTCGGAGATTTATCCAGTGCATACTTTCCGATAGCAACGGAAGATTCTCACGTCATTAAAGATAATAATAATATTATTATTATTAATATTAATATTAATAGTAAGGGCGTCGGATTGATTCATCACAATGATAATAATACTCTTAATAATCACTGAATTTAATTGCATAGCTGACAATTAATTCGACGTGCTAAATAATTATAGCCAATGAATATATCCAAGCAAATTGAGATCTTGTCTAAATAATTGATAAAAAAAAAAAGAAGAAATAAAAATAAAATAATATGGAGAAGTGTTTTGCATTGTCTTTTCCGACAACAGACTCTATCCA